CAGAGGCCAGACCTTGTTAGGTCTCCCAGGAAAACAAGCCTGAGGTGGAACCAAGGCAAAGGAATTCTGAACGTGGCCTTTGGGACGTAGGACCACCAATGTTCTGATCTCTTCCTTTTTCTTTCCTGTGAATCTTCTGATCTATTAGATTCTCCTTCTGTAAAATGAGTGTGCAAACATATGTTGATGAAAGGAGACTTGACTTTGGGTGGTGAACACACAATACAATATACAAATGATGTATTATAGAACTGTATAGTTGAAAGCTATATAATTTTATTAGCCAATATAGCCCCAATAAATTTAATAAAATTAAAATAAATAAATATAATGAGTGTGATTTTATTTTCCCTTTCACAACTTTCCAGACTAACTAGATTGTGACTAACAGGTCTATAACATAAAAATATTCTTTCAGCCCTGGCCGGTGTGGCTCAGTGGTTAGAGCATCGGCCCACACACGGAAGGGCTGGTGAGTTTGATTCCCGCTCAAGGGCATGTACCTGCGGCGCAGGAGGAACCAATAGATGTGTCTCTCGTACATGGGTGTTTCTCTCTCTCTTGTTCTCTCTCTCCCTCTCCCTCCTTCCCTCCCTCCACTCTCTAAAAATAAATGGGAAAAATATCCTTGATTGAGGATTAACAGAAAAAAGAAAAATTTTTTAAAAATTATTTCAATGGAACAGGGTTTTGTATCATACCAAAGATGTATCAGTTTTGTGAAAGGTATTTGAAGTTGAAATCTCAGGGGCAGGGCCCTCTAGTGGAAAGTGCCGATAAGCCAGGGGAGTAGAGATTGGGCTTCACACGGAACTAAGAAAATGAGGAAACGTTGCAGCTCATGCTTCTCAGAAAAAGAAAGAAGTTGATTTAAAATGTGGTTTTTACATAGACAGTAAAATCTCAGACACTTCTCGTAGCAATATTTTTTCTCATGTATCTCCTCCGGCAGCAGATGGGGCTATATCAAACTAAAGAATTTTTGCACAGCAAAGGAAACGTTTCATCAACAAAATGAAAAGGGAGCGCACTGTGTGGGAGAACATATTTGCCAATGATACATCTGATAAGGGGTTAATTTCCAAAATATATAAAGAAGTTGTACAACTCAACACCAGGAAGACAAACAATCCAATTGAAAAATAGGCAAAAGAGTAGTTCAGTTGGTTAGAGCACCATCCTGATACACCACGGTGGTGGGTTCGATCCCCAGTCAGGGCACATATAAGAATCAACCAGTGATTGTATAAATAAGTGGAACAATAAGTTGATGTTTCTCTCTCTCTCTTCCTCTCTCCCTTCCCCTCTCTTTCTAAAATCAATAAATAATAAATTTAAAAATGGGGAAAGGACTTGAATAGATGCTTCTCCAAAAGGGACGTACATATGGCCAGTAGACCTGAAAAAATGCTCAGTGTCACTAATCATGAGAGATGCAAATTGAAATCCCAAGGAGATATCACCTCGCACCCCTCAGAATGGCTGCCATCAATAAATCTACAAATAAGTGCTGGCGAGGGTGTGGAGAAAGGGGAGCCCTCGTGCGCCGTCGGTGGGAATGCAGACTGGGGCAGCCGCTGTGGAAAGCAGCATGCAGTTACCTCAGAAAGTTAAAAATGGAGCTGCCTTATGGCCCAGCGATTCCACTTCTGGGAGTTTATCTGAAGAAACCCAAAACACTAATTCAAAGAATATATGCACCTCTGTGTTCATTGCAGCGCTATTTACAAGAGCCAGTGTCTGGAAGCAGCCCAAGCGCCCATCAGTCGACGAGTGGACGAAACAGCTGTGGGACAGTCACACCAGGGAACACTACTCGGCCGTAAAAAGGAAGATCTTACCCTTTGGGACAGCATGGGTGGACCTGGAGAGCATGACGCTCAGTGGAATAAGCCAGGCAGAGAAAGACAAACACCGTATGAGCTCACTCAGACGTGGGGTCTAATGAACAAACTGAACCACCAAGCAAAACAGAGACCGACTCAGAGACGGAGCAGGCTGACAGCTCCAGAGGGAGGGTGGTGGGTTTGAGCAAAAAAGAAAAGTAAATAAAATACGTGGGGGGGGGTTTGTTTTGAAATTACCAAAGACAGGGGGCTTATAATTCTATGTTTGAGCCCCTTTAAATTTCCTATCCTTCCAGTAAAGAAAACAAATGGAAAAAGATGGCGTTTTGTACAAAATCTCAGAGCCATAAATAAGCTAGTTACCTCCAGACATTCCAAATCCACATACCTTATCAGCCATTCCTGTG